AACCAGCAGAATGCGAGCGGTTTATATTCCTCCAAACTATATGCAGAACAATCTTCAAGCATTTCAGAGTGTCTTGTCTTTTAATCAGCTCAAAACAACATTAAAGAACTTGGACATCTTTGGTAATGTATCCGTTTGTGCATGTATAAGATCTGCAAAGTAAAGCTCACAGTTTCCTACAAAAAGGGATTTATTCTGCCTAGCGTAGAGCACGGATCCAGACCTGCCTAAATCATCTCAATCGAGGTCCAGATATTACTAAGGCAAACATGCATGTCACAATGTGAAATATTAGCATAATACCCGCCCAAAGGCATATGCAAAAATAGTTTGTTTGGATGCAAAAGCAAAACCTAACCCATTTGTTCAGAATCAGTGGTTAAGATGTATTTGTAACGCTGTTCCTGAGCAGTACAACTCAAAAGTTTGCTTGTGCACAGTGAATTTTCCTTAAACTGGGAGAGTACAACAAAGTCTATTTACAAAGATTACTTAGCACATTCTGCACAAGTGGTGCTTGCAAAGTTGGTTCCAATCGATCGGCTTTATCATCCACATTTTCAGAATCCAACTCGGACTCGAACTGATACAGTAATACCAATGACACATTATTATAAAAGGTAGGCAATTTCAGAGAGGCTAGCAATAGCAAGTTAGCTTTGAAAGCATAAGATCCCACCCTCCCTTCAGAGTGTCTCTGCTGTGGAAATTATCTATTTAGTGGTGAGACTGCAATGAAAACCAAACCCACTTGTATCTTAAGCAGGGGCGTCGAATTTAGTAGGGACGCTAGGGACGTGTCCCTACCAATATCCCATGACACTGATATATCCCTAGCAATAATTTCGATCAAAACTTAAAATATATTTATGTTGATGTCCCCGTCCCCACCAATTTCAAAATCAAACCTACGCCACTGATCTTAAGTACTTTATTCTTGAAAGAAGGCCATTCACATACAGATATCAGAGTTTAGACCCAAGACAGAGGAACTGTTTAAGAAATATCATGATGCCGGGTGCACATATAACACCTTTTGTTGCGAAGACACTTTCAGACACTTTTTCAAAATCACAATCAAACTCTCTTCTGATGTCTATTTTTCCCTAACTGAGGATCAGTGTTTGGGGGAACGCATTACAACTAACGTGAGTAATGTAATCAGATTACTTTTCCAAGTAACTAGCAAAGTAATGCATTTCTTTTAAATTTACATCAAATTATCTGAGTTACTTTTTCAAAATAAGTAACGCAAGTTACTTTGTTTTCCCTTGTATTGGTTGACAGCTCTACACTGTCCCCATGTTGAGAGAAAGCGGGAGTAAGTGGAGAGGCGTTGTGTCCGCTGTGTAAACATGATGGTTATTGTAGTTTTAGAATAAATGTGAGAATGCATTTACTCCTCACTTGCACAAAAACAGATTCAGCATTCATCGAAATTAATAAAATTCATCTCACTTTGTCTTTGCAGCTGACTTTTGATGATTCAACCATATGAATCTGCAAAAATGACTTTAGATAAAGCCCACCCCACATGAGAAACAGTAACGTATCACATAACTTTCAATAAAAAGTAACCAAGTAATGGAATTAGTTACTTTTTTTAGGGAGTAATGCAATATGTAAAGTATTACTTTGAAAAGTAACTTTCCCGAACACTACTGAGGATTCACTGAAACTGAATGGTGGCAGTCACACGTGAAGACTGATCACATGACATCTTCACACTGTGATTGAGAAACAGTAACGTATCACATAACTTTCAATAAAAAGTAACCAAGTAATGGAATTAGTTACTTTTTTTAGGGAGTAATGCAATATGTAAAGTATTACTTTGAAAAGTAACTTTCCCGAACACTACTGAGGATTCACTGAAACTGAATGGTGGCAGTCACACGTGAAGACTGATCACATGACATCTTCACACTGTGATTGAGGACTTGAATTCTGGTTTCATGTTTAGGTTAAATAATATCACATATATATGATGCCTTGGCTGGTTGCCAGCAGTGTTTACATTATTAAGTTCTCCTGAAGAACTCCTGTGAAAACAATATAAATGAAATGGCCCATGAAAACGGAATCATCAATGTATCCATACAATAGGCCACGAAACAGACTCTAGTTTTGTAACCATTTGCATACATAAAATGCAAAATGCAAAAAACAAACAAACAAAAAAACATGTAGGCCTACATACAAAAATACAAACTATTTTATTTATGTAACAACATTGTTCATTTTATGTAACCTGTTATACTGTTATAATAAAAATCTCATTGATTTACATTACAATCAAAATTTCATCTTAATTACTTTTTGGCCACATCAATATCAATATCAGCACCAAACGCCTCTGAATAGGTATGAGCTCCATATTATCCTATATCATACTATATGAGCCATAAAAGCTTGGTGTATCAAATATGATACTAAACAAGAACACTTATTGTTTTAGATTTTTAATTAAAATTAAGTTTCAATAAACTGCTCAATTAAAAAAAAAACTTTACAGGGTTAATGATTGAATGAATATTAAGCAGGAATAGAATAAACAATTTTTTACATCGAAAACAAAAAATGGTAAGGAACAGGTGTAGCCTACTGACGAACCATCAGATTGTGTACCACTACCAATATTTGCATTGTTTTAAGGGTAGGTATGTATGGACGTTAAAAAAAAAAGCCTCAAGCTCAAAACACATTAATATGACGCTGGTAGCACAATCTGATACGTAGCATGTTTCGCTATCGATTTGTGCGGCTACCTATCTGATAAAGGGAGGTATAGCCAATATAAATAGTCTCTGGTATAGCACAAACCGTCAGAAGACCGGCTGATGTATTTTATCACAAGACAATTTAGCAAGTATACAGCGCCACCACCAGGTCCTCAACTAAATCCATGAAGCCAGCTTAACCCTTACCGCACTGAAGACAGCAAGCCATTATGGGGCATGTTACCTTGTTTGCCTTGGGACGGAGGAAATCCAATAAAGGTTGACAAAGTTACAGTAATCCAGAACAGTACAAGAAACCAAACAAGGTGCTTAATTAGTAGATGGGTCAGGGTGTGGAATGACATTTGATAAGATTACCACCACCAAACAAGACAAGAGAATACGGACAGAATCATTCCTGTGAAACAGCCTTTACAACCCTGAAAGTTTACCTGTGAAGTCCTTCAGTGGATGCCAAGTTCTCCATAACATTAAAGGTGCAGTAAGAGATTTCTGAAAAAGCTGTTGCACCAAAACACACATTTAGCCAATCAGCATTAAGGGGCGTGTCCAATAATCAGGGGGGAGGTGCCTGTGCTGCATAGCGTGTTCGTGAATTTTGGGGGAAGGCTATCAAGATAGGGGCGTGTTTGTTCAAATATTAAATATTCTCAGAAATCAAGAGCATTCAAGTTTAGCATCTGCGCAACAGCTCATCTTTCCTGATTTCATTCATGCTGGACACGTATGAGACTTTGTTTAGAGAAAACATTTTTAATAATTTGGTGCAGTTCTGTATACAGTAACAAATTTTAGATATGGTTTACAGATGATCATAAAGTAAAAATCTGTATTGTCTTGATGGAGGGTTGCAAACAGAATTCTGCTACATTCTTGATAACAACATATAAGAAACATATAAGGTTGTTTTCACACATTACTTACAAGCCTGTTGCTAATATCCTATTTGTACTATAGCAACTTTTATTTTTGTCTCCGTAACAAATCTTATATGGTTTATAATAATTATAATAAAAATGTTTAGTATGCTAGGTGTATTATGAAAGATCTATCCACGTCAGGAATGGTCCCTTACCAAGCCACCAAATCCACCTAATTTGAAACTTAAGCCTATTGATAGATCACATATTATATAAATAAATAAAAGCATTTTCACACAGTGTTTAAAAAATGAAAAATGTAACCACTATCTCAAAGAAATTTTCAGATAATTATAGTACTTCAAATCAATAAAATAAAATCATTATGAAAGGCCAGAAAGTAAAAATGTGGATTTATGTTCTCTAACAATCTACATCTACTACAGCTGATGAGAGAAGCAAAGCAAAAGAAGGGAAAATGTTAGTTTTATCTTATATTTCACAGACTTCAGGGCCATCTGGATGTAAATTATCCAATGACCCAACTCTTCCATAAGGTACATGTGCAACATCACATGAAGTGTAATGACAACACTGGCATGCATTGAAATATGAATGCTTCAAATATGAGAACATTGTTCTTTTACACACAGCTATTGCTCCGACTATTCAAGGCAATTTTTGTGGTACACTATACAAAAGAACACCCTTTCTTATTCTATGTGAACGCATTTGAATCCAATCAGCTTATTCTATTGAAAAAAAAGTGTATTTGAAATACAAGATTTGCTTAAATTTGAGGGGGGGGGGGGGGGGACTCAAAATCAAGAGTCAACAATTCTGATAATGGTTTAAAATTACCACTAAAATATCATTAATAGAAAATGGCAAAATTAGTCACACAATAAGAACTCTACTCTTTTTTTTTTCCTATACCCTTACCAAATGTACAACACAAAAGTAACTTTTAAAATGCTATATATTGTAACGTGCTAAATCAAGTATGTGTGCTGTACCTTAGTAAACGATACAGCTGATTTGATCTTTAACAAATAAAAAAAGAAAACGCTGCTTTCAGTAGTCTTCATGGCAGCATTTTGTAAACGATTAAAGACCTATGAAGCACATTTGGCAATCAACTAAATAAATCACGTAGAGCCAGGACTGAAATTTTGGTGACTAAAAGTGATGGTTTAAACAGTAGTTCACCCAAAAATGAAAATCTAGTTTTCATTTACTCACGCTCAAGCTGTTCCCACCTACTGTATATGTGGAGGAATATTCATGCAGCTTATTTCCTTATGTTCATTTTTGGGTGAACTGTTTTAACATAATAAAGGTATTTTGGAGACTCAAACACATGGTTTATGTAGGATAATAGCACCACACTCTGTCATAAACTGTAAGGGGGAGGAGTGTTTCACGGTCCCTCTTTCTAGCAGGTGTGAGCGGAACTGAAAGCTGGAGGTCTTGAAGGGGTTTGACGAGGTAAGACTGGCCCATCATCTGTGATCTGACATTTAGGGTGGGCAGAAATCTGCAAAGTAAGGGTGCTGTAGGGCTTCCTCTGCTGAAATTCGCTGTACTGGATTGCATTTCAGAAGATTCTGCAAACACAGAAAAATCCAAGCTAAACCATGATGCATGAAAGCATGGAGTAATTGATTCCACGATGAGAATATTGTACCTGTAGAAGGTCTCTGCCAGTGCTGCTGAGTTTCGGGACCACATTCACAAGTGATGTAGTAGCTGGGTACATTGGGTACGGCTATCAAAACATTTAAATAAAGAAAAGGAAAAGAGAAAGGGAAAGGAATGCAGAATAAATGTATGAAAATAAAGCAAGGCCTTACTAAATAGCCAATTTCTTAAACCTCAAAATTGATTTGGTTTCTTTGTACATTCTAACACTTGTTATTGTGAGCAAAATCTAATGACCTGCCCTGTTCGTGCAATGAATATCTTTAGGTGTCATTTAGACGAGTAAATGTTGTACCTTATAATCTGGAAGTTTATTCATAGTCTGCCATTGTTCTTCTGTCGGTGTTCCCAGCAATGTGCCAAAATGTTAAAGTTAATCAGCTCAATGGCAACTTGGCTTGATGTGCCAAGTTTCTACATGCATTGCTTGGCAACTTAATTATATTACATTACTACGGAGCCCCTAAAGGGACATGGTGATGGAAAAAATTATGAGTGGGAGGAAAATTATATACAGTATCAATGCTTTTGGTTTCCCCCGAGAAACTTTTTTCAGTTGTTTTGCGAGCGAGCGCAAAGTTTCTCAGGGGAACAAAAAGAGATTTTAAATACATTTTTTCCTCATATTTTCCACCATCATGTCTCTTTAGGGACACACATAAATATATATGAATGAGTTCACTCAAAATTCTGTCATTAATAATCACTCACCCTCATGACGTTCCAAACCCGTAAGACTTTCGTTCATCTTCTGAACACAAATGAAGGTTTTCTTGATGAAATCTGAGAGCTTTCTGTCCCTCCATTGACAGCTACGCAACTACCACTTTGACGCTTCAAAAAGTTCATAAAACTAATCCATATGAATTGAGCGGTTAAGTCCAAATTTTCTAAAGAGACTGTCTCTTTATATGATGAATAGATTTAACTTAGGCTTTTAATTACATAAAAACATTGATCAGCAAACATAACAGAAGCTCAACCAAACCTGATTGACGCATAAGAACAAACCTCTTGCTGAAGCTCAAACGTGATGCGTAACACGAGACGGAACCTCATTGGTTAGTGTCAAGTGGTAGTTGCGTAGCTGTCAATGGAGGGACAGAAAGGTCTCAGGTCTAAGGTCTTCATTTGTGTTCCGAAGATGAACGAAAGTCTTACAGGTTTGAAATTACATGAAGGTGAGTAAATGTATGAGATTATATATATATAAATACATTACATTAAATTTCCCATCCTGCACTAGGTATTAACAATATGAAACTTCAAGATTACAGTTCTATCCAAAAGTATAAACCCAACATAAATCTTAAACAGATCAACTAAGTGTAAAGGATATCTAAAGATCCTCTTTAGCTGGTCATCCACATCATTACCAGGAAACAAGGGCCGTCCTGCATTTGCCAGTTCTAAAGAAAAATTATACAGAAAAACAAATTCACATACTACAAGAACAGTTTTACTACAACAACAACAAAAAAAGTTAAATGGAGCTTTTCCTACCAGCAAATATACACCCTGCAGACCACATATCAATAGAGGTAGAGTATAGCTTAGCACCAAACAGCACATCCGGTGGCCTGTACCACAACGTCACCACCTGAAGCCAATCAACATGAAGTGAGGAACAGGGAAACGCTGAAAAAGTCCAAGCTGCATCTGAAGCCGTGTAGCTTACCTCAGCAGAATAACATCGTACAGGTATTCCAAACGCTCTGGCCAAGCCAAAGTCAGCTAACTTCAGTTCACCGTTCTGATGACAACAAAATAATACAGATATTAAAAAGTGTTTTTGGGAGTACAGCGGAAATAAAGGAACATGGAGCATGTTTGGGTTTCACCAACATAATGCAATCTTATAGTCATATATAACACAAACCTGCTACACTAAGGATGAATAATGAATATCCAATATCAAGCACTTTCAGTCATTTACTTACTCTGTTGATGAGCAAATTTTGTGGTTTGAGGTCTCGATGGAGAACATTTCGGCTGTGGCAGAAGGCAAGACCCTTCAATAACTGGTACATAAAGGACTGCAAGGAGAGAATTAAAACGGCATTATCTGATACCTCAAACATTAAATATGCCATCAAGAGATGCTCTTCTGTGACACATTTTTTTCAGGGCTTTATACAGATTTAAAAATCAAATCAAACCTTGACAATCTCTGGATCCAAGTCACCATTACAGCTGTCAAAGTATTTCTTCAAATCCTGTTTGAATGGAAGTAATTCTACAAGTTACAAAACACACTGATCTCACAAGACTCGATCAAGCAGCAAGATCATTGGAAACAGGGTAAATAATGATGCAGGTACTTGCTCCTACCTGATCGCAGAACTCAAACACTAATGTGAGCTTCTTATCACTGTGCAGGACATCATGCAACCTACAAGAACAAGTAGCTGTTGTTAAAGGGTTAGTTCACCCAAAAATGAAAAGTATCCCATAATTGACTCACCCTCAAGCCATCCTAGGTGTATATGACTTTCTTTCAGCCGAACACAATCGTTATATAGTTATATAAAAAAATATCCTGGCTCTTCCAAGCTTTATAATGGGAGTGAATGGTATCTGAGATTTTGAACCCCAAAAAAGTGCATCCATCCATCATAAAAGCAATCCATAAGGCTCCAGGGGGTTAATAAAGAGGGGGTCAGAGGTCACTCTTCTGCCGGAACTAGACTCATGTACGGCCATTGCCAGAAGCAAATGATTATATTTTATAAAGTTATAAATATGGATATTTTACTATACTTTTTTGGGCTTCAAAATCTCAGGAACCATTCACTCCCATTATAAAGCTTGGAAGAGCCAGGATATATTTTTTAATATTCTTCGATTGTGTTCGGCTGAAAGAAGAAAGTCATATACACCTAGGATGGGCTTGAGGGCGAGTAAATTATGAGATAATTTTCATTTTCTTTGGGTGAACTAACCCTTTAATACAGCATAAGACAAACTGCACAATTTCTATTTCATCGCTGTTTATTTATTTATCAATAATTCTTTTGAAATGCTTCCTTAAAAAATACTTGCAACCAACCAAAACTGAATTTATATGGTTAAATACATTAAAAATGCAATTATAATAATAAAATAATACTAATTAACAACATTTATTCTGCATGATGAAATATGCTAATAATACATTTCATTAAAAAATAAAAATAATAATAATACAAAATAGGAAATATAAATGCAACAAAACTCAGTGCATGCTGTAAGCTTAAACATACTTAAAATGCAAACAAACTTACCTTACAATGTTTTTATGCTTCAGTTCTTTCAGGAGGCAAATTTCTCGTAAAGCTGAGCTTGGAACCCCCTGTTGTAGGATTGAAAATTAATGTGACAGTTTGCTTTAATATGACTTGTGCCTCACATCCCAGTCTTACCTCATCATCATCATCCAATCGCACTCGTTTGAGGGCCACAATCTCATGTGTTTCTCTGTTTTTAGCTTTGAAAACGGTCCCATATGTACCTGGAGACAGGGTACAAAAATCAAGTAAGCAGAGGGTACAAAAAAAGTCATTCTGACTAGAAAAATCACTGTAGAAATAGGATAAGTTGGCAAAACGTCAATAAGAATAAAACAAATCCTCAAATGGGCGTGGCCTAGCAGCAAAACATGTCTTTAAATTATCAGGCAGAATAAGTTTAAAATAATACTTATATTGTATTTGTGTATAATCTCGCAGACAGCGTTGTCGCGACGTAACCGTTACTTTTCTCAGCATACCTCAGAACAGACCAATCACTGTCCTTTTTGATAAATAGATTTTTTTTTTTTAAAAAGAAGATTTTTTAACTCAAGTACTCATTCGATCTATAACTCAAGTACTCATTCGATTAAATGACTATACATTTAAATTAGTATATTTTTTCACCTACTACTTCAGGCGAGATTCTGAAGCGATGCAACTGACGGTCACATGATAATGACAACATGGCGAATATAGTACGTCCATATCAGAGCCATCTATGGCTCTGGTCCAGATTACATTTATACTACACACATTCATACTATACAGAACATACGTTTTTAGTGGTCGTGAAGTAATTACTTATTCAGAATAAGTGCCTACTCAAGCGAGTATGCGATTTCTGACACAGCCATAATCCAGACGTACTACATCTACCATGTTGTCATTATCATGTCAGTTGTATTGCTTCACTGCCATTCATAAATCCTCTCCTGTGGCCTCATGGGATAGTAAAGTGTCCATCATATGCACACTTCAGAATCTCGCCGGAAGTAGTAGGTCATCCGAGTACTTTTTTATGAGTACTGTGAATTCGGACATAGTTCTTTTGTGTTAACACATATTTATACTATAGTATATACACTACCCACTAGTATATAGTGGGGAAGTATGTGATTTCGGATGCAGCCACGCAGACTTTGAGCCTTCATGCGCCCCCTGGAGGAAGACACACTACTTTATGCCTCATAGGAATCAGCTACTAACTAACGTTAACATTTGCAGCTCAGTGAGAATCAAAGAAAAGCTGCTAATGATACTGCTATGAATGAACGATCAGTTTGATTCGAAATAATCAATGCAACACCTCGATGTATCTGAACAATAGCTACGGCATCATTTAACAGGTGCGCAAATGCCGTTTTGATTTATTTAAAGCCAAGTGCATCCTCTCAATAGCAGTATGAGCTTGCTAGCTGAGCTCTAGCTTAGACTTTAATCTCAACACACGCTTACGAAGGCATAATTCACAGCAGACTGTCAGACGCTTTAAGCTCTATAACAGCAAACCTTCATGATTGTTAATACTCTATAAATCTCCAATGCAGATAACGTTACAGCCATTCAGGCCAGACAATCCATTTAACGTTACTCACCCTCTCCTATCTTCTCCAACTTCTCATACTTTTGCATGGTTTTAGCCAGCTACAATAGCTTTTAAATAAAGCGTCCTGGCTCCTTAATTTCCTACGTTTTAAAATAAAGGTTTAAATAATACAGCTGACTACTGTCGGTTTTTTTATCAACAAGGGGCGTAGTACGCAACATGAAGAGAGCAATAAGGGTTTCAAGATGGCGATTTACTGAGACACACTTCAAAATAAAAGCATCCTTTGTAAACGGCCTTCTGGGTGGATAATAAATACTATAAACTGCAATAATTAATAATAATACAATTAAAATAAAACATTTTAGTTTAATATTTCATCATTTATTAAAAAAAAGTATAAACACCTTTTCTAACTAACAGACAAAATAAAGAGTAAGGGGAATGCAGGAGGAAAATATTTACTTTATTATACCCCAATTTTCATGGAAGACAGGCAGAGTATCATCAATAGTATTGATAAATAATACATCTTTCAAAATAAAATGTACATCTCACTTTATTGAAACCTTTTCATTTAAAAAAAAAGGTTAAAATACTTTAAAAAATCAGTCTAGAGTTTGGGGAAATCAAACAGTATTAAAAAAACAGCATGGCTACCATTGCACAACACTGACATTATTCTTTGATAGATAAAACTCAAAACACAGATTATTCACTAAAACTCATTTGCTATGGCGGTGCACCAAATCAAATTTTGTCTTTAAAACAATTAAAAAATGTAAATAACTTCAAATAAAACAAATATTTAAAATAACTGGTAGTGAAATATGCTCAGTAATACAGTATTTTATTTGTGACCATCGGATCGTTGTCTCTTTATAAGCTCTGAATACAGCCCTCCTTTGCTCAGTAATTCCAGGTGTGTTCCAGCCTTTGAAAACATAAATAATAAAACAAACATTAAACATCACAGGTTTCAGGCATTCAGTATGCAAGTACATCCTTTGTAAAGTCCTTCCTAACCTCAACAATACGTCCATTGCTCATGACACAGATGAGATCGGCCGCCTGTATGGTGCTCAGACGGTGAGCGATGATCAGAACGGTGCGACCTGTTGTGGCTCTGTCCAAAGCCTCCTGAACCACACGCTCAGACTCCGCATCCAACGCACTGGTGGCCTCATCCAGAATCAAGATGCTGGGGTTTTTTATCAGGGCACGAGCGATTGCGATCCGCTGCTTTTGGCCCCCAGATAGAGTGACTCCACGTTCACCTAAAAATATATGAAAATTAATTTATTGTATTTTACATTTTATTTTATTTTAGAAAACGGAAGAAAAAGTTATTTTATTCACACTTCAAAATTACATCTTTCATCTCACTTTATTGAAACCTTTCCCTTTAAAAATAAAGTTTTAAAATACTTTCAGTCTAGAGTTTGGGGAAATAAAAGTCATTTTATTTTCAAATTTATTTTTTGGTTTAGTTTTTAACAGTGCTTACCAACCACAGTGTTGTATCCATCTGGGAATCCTGTGATGAAATTATGAGCATTGGCTTGTTTGGCAGCAGACGTGACCTCAGCGTCTGTTGCACTGGGTTTTCCAAACCTGATATTCTCCATCACAGAGGTTCCAAAAAGAACAGGTTCCTGTGACAAGGACAAAAAAGATTGATACAACTGGTGATCTTTTTCAGACATAGGTATATAACAAACCAAAGCAGAAACGTTAGAGTGAAGCAAGGTCCAGCTCACAGAGAGAGAATAATATGTACCTGACTGATGAACCCAATGACGTGTCCTCTTAACCAGGACGGGTCCAGTGTTCTGATGTCCAGCCCATCCAACATTACCACTCCACTGCTGGGGTCATAGAACCGCTCCAGTAAGGCGGCCACTGTGGATTTGCCTGAATTTAGAGGTAAATAAATGACTAATATCATTAGACAGGCGGATATATGGATAGATAGACAGAGAGATGGATATACAGATAGATAGACAGACATTCTCTGCCTCTAGATATAAGGATAAATAGATAGACAGAAGGACAGACAGATGATAGATAGACAGACGGATAGACAGAAGGACAGACAGATGGATAGATAGACAGACGGATAGACAGACCCTCGGTTGGACAGACAGACGGATAGATAGACAGGTAGATAGATCGACAGAAGGACAGACAGAAAGACAGACAGATGGATACATAGACAGACGGATAGACAGATGATAGATAGACCCTCGGACAGACAGACAGACAGACGGATAGATAGACAGGTAGATAGATCGACAGAAGGACAGACAGAAAGACAGACAGATGGATACATAGACAGACGGATAGATAGACAGATGGATAGATAGACCCTTGGACAGACAGACAGACGGATAGATAGACAGGTAGATAGATCGACAGAAGGACAGACAGAAAGACAGACAGATGGATACATAGACAGACGGATAGACAGATGGATAGATAGACCCTTGGACAGACAGACAGACGGATAGATAGACAGGTAGATAGATCGACAGAAGGACAGACAGATGGATACATAGACAGACGGATAGACAGATGGATAGATAGACCCTCGGACAGACAGACAGACGGATAGATAGACAGGTAGATAGATCGACAGAAGGACAGACAGAAAGACAGACAGATGGATACATAGACAGACGGATAGACAGATGGATAGATAGACCCTTGGACAGACAGACAGACGGATAGATAGACAGGTAGATAGATCGACAGAAGGACAGACAGAAAGACAGACAGATGGATACATAGACAGACGGATAGATAGACAGATGGATAGATAGACCCTCGGACAGACAGACAGACAGATAGATAGACAGGTAGATAGATCGACAGAAGGACAGACAGAAAGACAGACAGATGGATACATAGACAGACGAATAGACAGATGGATAGATAGACCCTCGGACAGACAGACAGACAGATAGAGAGGTAGATAGATCAACAGAAGGACAGACAGACATCTTACCTCCGCCTGACTCTCCAACGATAGCCACAGTTTTACAGGGAGGTAGAGTCAGGTTGAAGTTTTTAAGGATCTGGTTTCCAGGTCTTGTTGGATACCTGAGAAACATGCCAGAAACATCAAATAACAGAGAATGGAACTTTTTAGATAAAACTCAGGTCTTGTCATGTTTGCATTAGAGGCCTACCTGAAATCGATGTTCATGAAGTCAACTCTTCCCGTCAGAGACTTGAGAGGGATACGACCTCCTCCGGTGAGAGGAACGCTGGGCTCTAGAGTCAAGTACTCAAACACACGGGCCCCTGCACTCATACCCCGAACCATCTGACACAAACCAATATATATATTTATAAATATAGGATACATACAATATGTAAAGATAAGTGTCTTCCACTCACCTGTCCAAACAGAATAGAAATGCTGGCAAGAGATCTATAGAGACAGATGTGAGGTGATTCTGTTACATGTGTTTTTAATGTGGTTTGACATTATAGACACTTTTTGTTTCTTCTATATTATGTGCAGACAAAAAAATTCACCTCTGAACTGTTTGAGAGGCGACCAAAAATGACATTAGATCACCAGGTGACATGTCATTACGGGCCATCAAAGACCCACCAGCAAATATAGTGCCTAGAACAATGCCTGTCGAATAAGGGAAATATTGAACAGCTCTAGTTCATGTGGTAATTGGATGCAAATCAGTAAAACATGCATAATTACTCACAGTTCAGGACAATATTAGACAGGCCCTGAAATACGGCAATTCCTGTGCCCAACGTTTCATTCATGGCAGCTGATTTCTGGACCTCGGCGGCAAACATCCTGTGAAAGAATGGTTCATATCAGAAAAGAAAACTATAAATATTATAATAAAAACCTGGGTAACACTTTTATTTAAGGTGAAGTACTAATAACAGTAAATTATGCATAATGACAAGAAACTAACCCTAAATCAAATGCCATCCCATGAGACTAATTAAAAAAAAAAAAAAATATTTACAGTGTAGTATTATCAACAATTCCACAGAACTCAATATTTTCCTCAAAATTAACAGAAAATGTGGAAAAAAGTGAAGTCGTACTCTAGTTCTCGATCCTCCATGGCAAAAGCCCTCACTGTTCGTACGTTACCAAGAGCCTCGTCGGCCACTCCTGTAGCTTTAGCAACCTAAAAGAGGAAAATGGGTTTAGCATTTAGCAGTTAGCATAGAAAGAGTCACTAAAACTAAACTCTTCTCTATCAGTGTCGTCACCTGTTCCTGTGCTTTCCGTGAAAGTTTACGGAGAAAAGAACCGATGAGAGCACCAGCCCCCACGAGACATGGAAGAACGACCACAGTGAGACCCGTGAGCTTGGGGGAGATGACGTACAGTGAGACAAAACAGCCCACTGTCTGTGTGGCACTGCGCAAACCCTGTAAAACACAACACATTAACAGATGACTGTGATAGTTGCACATTCTCCCTTGGGCTTTTTAGATGCACTTGCTCAAAACATTTGCTCCTTGATTATTGAAAATGGTTTGTTACTTGTGCCAAATATTATAATTTTATTTTGTTTTTGGGCTCTACTAGAATAGGTTTTCATGCTTGAATGTTCAAAAAACACATTTTTCACATACACTCACCTAAAGGATTATTAGGAACACCATACTAATACTGTGTTTGACCCCTTTTCGCCTTCAGAACTGCCTTAATTCTACGTGGCATTGATTCAACAAGGTGCTGAAAGCATTCTTTAGAAATGCTGGCCCATATTGATAGGATAGCATCTTGCAGTTGATGGAGATTTGTGGGATGCACATCCAGGGCACACGAAGCTCCCGTTCCACCACATCCCAAAGATGCTCTATTGGGTTGAGATCTGGTGACTGTGGGGGCCATTTTAGTACAGTGAACTCATTGTCATGTTCAAGAAACCAATTTGAAATGATTCGAGCTTTGTGACATGGTGCATTATCCTGCTGGAAGTAGCCATCAGAGGATGGGTACATGGTGGCCATAAAGGGATGGACATGGTCAGAAACAATGCTCAGGTAGGCCGTGGCATTTAAACGATGCCCAATTGGCACTAAGGGGCCTAAAGTGTGCCAAGAAAACATCCCCCATACCATTACACCACCAGCCTGCACAGTGGTAACAAGGCATGATGGATCCATGTTCTCATTCTGTTTATGCCAAATTCTGACTCTAACATCTGAATGTCTCAACAGAAATCGAGACTCATCAGTCCAGGCAACATTTTTCCAG